TCAGTATGTTTCTTGTAGAACCCGTTACCCCTCCCTCATTATTCTCTCACTTTCCTTCCCTCTAATCTCCCCCACAAGTTTTACAGTTCATTTCCAATGTATTGTCTTGTGAGTATTGCCATTGCATTGGTTCATCCTTTGTCTTTTGTCTCATCATTTTGGTGTTCCCCTTCCCTTCCCAAATTCAGATAAATGTACAATCTCCAAGGTACCAAAATCAAATACAGTGACAACAGGGGATAAAACACAGGGAAAAAACACAAAAGAAAAACAAATCACATAGTATATTAAAAACAACAACAACACCAAAAATAAAACCCTCAGGCTGGGAAGGTGGCTCAGTGGTAGAGCGCTTGCCTTGCATGCCTGAGGCCCTGGGTTCGATTCCTCAGCACCACATAAGCAAAAAGAAAAAAAGCCAGAAGTGGTGCTGCGGCTCAAAGTGGTAGAGCGCTAGCCTTGAGCTGAAGAGCTGAGGGACAGCGCCCAGGCCCAGAGTTCAAGCCCCACGACCGGACCCAAAAAAACAACAACAAAAAAAAAACCTTCTTGTGTCCATGTCTTGGAGTTCATTTCACTTAGCATCATCTTATGTGGTGATATGCACATAGCTATTAAGCTATTCTGCTCATCAGCTAGGACCTGTTTGCCTCAGAAGAGACATGAGGCGGACACAAAGGAGTATTTCTTTTTCCTACTTTCAGTTGTTTAAAGACTATGCTCAGAAAGAGAGCAGGGTGTGCTGGAAAAGGAAGAGTGTCTGGGAAAACAGACAGAAGAGCCAAGGCTTTTGCCTAAGAAGATCCTGTAGTGTCTCGAAAGAAGAGGCAGAAGAAGGCAGTATGTTCAAAGATGATGGAGCATAAGGCCTAACTCTGGTAGCATCATTTTCCAGAAACACAAATGACCCAGACTATATGGAGGCTTTGTAGGATGGTCCCAGTCCTGGGGTATATCTCTAGCCTCAAGTAGTAGGGAACAAGACAGTGCTGAAAGGAAAGATGAAGGATGGGTCATCCCATCTAGGGACATGCATATGCAGGGTGAAACCATAGATGGCAACTCTGGGAAGGGACAAAAGAAATATCTAGAGTATGGAATAATCATAATAATAACAATAATAATAATATTAAAGACTGGCTGCCTCCAGACGTTACTTTCTCCTTCAGGAGAAAGAATAGCACATATCATATATCAGAGAGAGAGAGAGAAAGAGAGAGAGAGAGAAAGTAATAACCTAAGAAGGCTTGGAAAGTGAAATTGAATGACATGCTAAACCTTGACAGATTCACATTCAGTGTTTACCTTTATTCAACTCTGTGTTTGAAATGGCCCAATCCCTGTAGCCACTTCTAGTTCTCATGGCAGCTGCATCTGGGTTTAGCCAGTGCAGACATGGGTAGGAGGTCAGAGGACAGGGGAATCTATAGGACACTTCTTTCCGTCCCTGCAATGGACACTGTTTTGTCAGTTGTTCTCTTTTCTGTGGCAGCAGCTCCCAAAAGCTGGCAGAGCTGTACGATACCATAGCTAGGGGCTGTGGTTGTTCCTTTTTGAGTTATTTTACTGCCCCATTGGCTTAGCTTCTATGGTCTTCCAACCATGCATTTCTGATTCATTGCACTCAATTTTCTCTGGGTGTTATTAATGCAGTCTGTACATTCCTGATTAGACCCTGCTAGAAGGTTAGTTTACAAAAAAGGCAATGTGGTGTTTTCTGCACACCTACTTGTGTAGTTTGTTTCAAATCACATCGTTAACGATTTTAACTATCCTGCTCTCTCAAGTTGGTTGGTGGCCCAAGTGAGACTACTTAACATCAATGTGTCATCGTTGCAGACAACTGACATCATAATTTTTTTTAATTTTGATAAGATACATTGAGTGGCAAAGGGGCACCAGTCCCAGGTTCAGGAAACCTTTTTATTTAAAGTTCATTTCTATATTTGGCCCTAATCTTCTTTCAATGTGCAATTTTTTCTCTTTACAGAATGATTAGATCCTCACAGAACACACAGAAAGCTCTGGGAAGGCCTTTGTCATTACTTCCACACATCAGATCCTTCTGAACCATAAAGCTTTGCTGTCTACATCCAACCGAATAAAGAAAGAACCTAGTCATATTCCTGATGTTGCCACATATACAGCTATTTGCATCCATTACTGCGTGGTGAGTTGGTTTGTAAGGTGTTCTTCCTGACAGTCAAGAACAGATCTGACTTTTGATTGGGTGAACATTGTCAAAGTGAATAGTGCATGAGGTGCCATGAAGGACAGGAGACAATTTAGATATACTGTTCCTTCATGATGACCAGCCTTGGGCCTATAGATCAAACAATAAGTCAAAACTTCTTTGCTTTTTTTTGGGGGGGGGGTCCGGTCGTGGAGCCTGAAATCTGGGCCTGGGC